GATAGTAAAAAACAACTGTCCTGAATTGAATTCTAACCTCAAATAAAGTACTATACCCATAGTAGTTACTCAATAAATTAATTTGCTAATTCATTCTATAAAAATCTGGCTTTATATATTGACTATAAAGATATCTTTGAAACCTCAAAGTTTTTAGATAAAGGATACATCATTATGGAAATAATTCCCCCAAAATAAAGATAAGATAAAACTTGTATCTGTACTTGGAAACTTAAAAGATGTCAAAAGCTAGAAATTGTGCTACATGATCTCCCCTCCCATAAAAGAATGCCTGGTCTGGGAAGTAAGTGTAAAGGATATTGATAAATTTACTCTAATATACCCAAGTCAAGGGGATAAAGCCAGATGATGAGGCAAGCATTCTCTTAGATGGGGTGGCAGCATAAACAGAAAAACTACATGCTACATGTTGGTGGGCAATGGGTTCTGCTCGCAGAATGCATGAGAAATGATAGAAGGGATTGTAAGATTAATCAAAAGAGTTTCTTCTTGAGAGGATGAACCAAGTTTCATCAGAAAAACTATTAATAATTTCTCTTGGAGCAGAAAACTGATTAAATTTTTCCCAAAATCTTAATCTCAAAATTCCACAGAAAAGTGTTTACCATTGAGTTAAGAAGGAGGCTTTGAATTATAATCTACAAAAAAAAGAAAAGACTTCTATCCGTACCAGACTGATGCCAATTTTTATCATTCTCAACTAGCAAAAAACTAGCCTGGCAAAGCTCCCTCCAAGAATGGAGACCAGAAAGCATTCTTTCCAAGGGAGAAAGACACAGATGGTAGAAGACTGCCTATGGTGCCTCTTCCCAAAAGGTGTTTAAAAAATCAACAGATATATGAAACAATTTTCTAGGTGGAAAGAATTTTATGGAATCATCAGAATTAGACGTTTCGCTCTGAAATGACACTACTACATGAAGACAGCATATTAGATATTTTTTGATTTTCACTCTCAGGAAGATTCAAGAAGATGCTTCAACCATAGAAGTGGGCACAAAGTAGGAACAATTTTATGTGATAAAAGGGTTCATGCAGATATTAAATATTAAGTATTTTGAATAAAAAACCATTGGAGGTGGTGTAAAACCCACTTTTTCTCTATAAAGCTGAATTAGATAAATACAAGACATACTTGAAAATGTCTAGAATTCAAGAAAAGAATAAAGGTGTGAAAACAGAGGGAAAAGTCAAGGCATTAATTAAAGAAAGAAATTATGTAAGGGAAACCTGGGGAGAAAACACAATAGATATCGCAGAAATCATTATAAAACGTATAAGAAAATTCCCTGATTTGAATAAAGATGAGGGTCTTGCAGATAGACAGATATCATTTAGTGCATTGCAAAATTAGTGAAAGAACCCCAAAAAGAAGCCATATTCAGACAATAGCCTCAAATTTAAAGATAAAAATTCAACAGCCTCCAGCACACAACATGGATTATTTTGATTAGATAAGAAGGGCTAATGTGTAACTTCTCTGGAATGCTAAGTACCTCCAGAAAATGGGATCTAAGGAAAAAAATGCTACCTAGGAATCCCTATAAACTGTCAGAAGAACAAAAAAAAAAAAAAAAAAGGAGACACTATGGGATATGCAAGGTCTCCATACCAATTAGTGGAGGCTTTCTTAAAAAGAAAAGAAAGGAATATTTAAAGACTTATCCTATGACGAAATAAGTGAGGAAAAACAGTAAGAATGGTGACTGCTTTCAATGACTTTATTTCAAGAACTTAACTGATACCAGGTTATAGGCTATAAATTAAGATGTGAATAGACAGACATAAAGGTTTTTTCCCTTATGGAATATGTAGTCAGGCAAGTCAGATAAACACATAAATGCATTCATAATAGCAAGTTATGAAGAAAACAACAAACCAATTTAGCATCAAAACAAATCTAGTATTAGAATTTTCAGGCACAAAATATTTTTTAAACTATGCAAAAATTATCTAAATAAATAAACATGGAATCACAAAAATGAGCACAATTAGGCTCTAAAATACATACAGATTTGAAAAAGAAGACATAGAACTTTTATAAATGAAAAACATTGCTGAATTTAAACAAAAAAATCTCAAAGTTTGAATCAAACAACAGATTAGACACAGATGAAAAGAGGATTATTGAAACTGAAAACATAGTTGATGAAATTATTCAGAATTCATATCAGAGAAAATAACAAATAGAAAATGTAATAGGAGATTAAGAGATTTGGCAGATATGATAAGAATTTCTAATATATATTTAATCAGAATCCCAGAAAAGGAGAATAAGACAATGAGGAAAAATAATAAAGACATTATTGCTAAAAAATTTCCATAAGTTATGGAAGACTTGAATTCAATCATAAGGGAAACCAAATGAATTCCAAGGTGGAGAAAAAAGATGCTCAACAAGTAGACAAATTGTAAAGAAACTGTGGAACACTAAATATAGAGACAATCAAAAAGCACAGAAGACTAACAATTAGACTGATGTGACAGTCTTTCTCACAGCAACAATCGTAGCAAGAACATAATGACATATTTGCAAAGCACTAAAGACAGAAAGCAAAAGTCACTCCCAAGAACAACAAAAAAACTATCAACCTAGAAGTCTTATACTCCTCCACAAACACTGTTTATTAAGAATGAAGATAGAATATGGGGTCCTTCATCCAAAGCAAAACATAAAAGTACTCCTAAAAATACTCTGGCACTAAAGGATGTACCTCAGGTAGAAGGGAAATAATTTCAGAAGGTCTAATAGTGCAGGAAGGCATACAAAACAAAGAAGCAGCGTTAAAATAAGTAGACAAATCTTAACAAAGCAGTGTCTCCAGAAGATAATAAAAATAACATTTAAATATAGAGAATATTTAAAAGAATACTCTCTTAAATATACCATTAATACACCATTTAATTATTTCCAGCAAGAATCATCAATGCTTACTAAAATTAGCACATAAAACTATGATAAAAATTGCGAAATTGACATAGTCTCAAGGTATCTCCCCACAAGATATTTATTAATTATAAAAGGAAAATAATAAATCTTCAGCCAAGAAACATGGCAGGCACCACCTTAACCAAGATATCACAATTAACATCAACAGTAGTAAGACACATAGACATCAAGTGACCCCTGATATGATGCACTGAGAAGAATACAGTACTACTTCTCTGGTGTTCTTGCCAAAAAGGCATAGTCTGAATTTATTCATGAGAGGACATCAAACTTAAATTGAGAGACATTATACCACATAACAGGCCAGTATTCATCAAAAGTACAAGGTCATGAAAGACAAAGACTGATGATGTGTTCAAGAGTAGACGAGACTAGTAAGAGATGAAACGAAATGCAACATGTGCTTCAGGATTGGATTCTGGACCAGAAAAAGGATAACGGTGGGAAAATCAACAAAATTTAATAAGATTTATAGATTAGTAACAATGTTGCATCAAGGTTAATTCCCTGATTTTGATATTGTGAGGAGGTAAGATGTTAATATTAAGGATTTTGGGTCAAGGGTGTACAAAAATTCTTTGTACTATTTATGAAACTTTTTGTAAGTCTGAAATCATTTCAAGATGAAAAATTAAGAAGATTACTAATAGAGAAAAACACCAATGAAAAACAACAAAACAAAAATCTCAGTTAAACAGTAAAGAAAAAAATGTGAGAAAAGCAGGACAGACAGAAAGCAAAAAGTAAGGAGAGAGAAACTGTTCCAAATATTTTTCTAACTTCAATAAATGTGAATGACTAAGGTCACAGGTGGAAACACAGAAACTGGGTTAAAAACTAAACACAGCTGTATGACTTTTATAATAGCCACGGCTAAGACACCAGGACACAAAAGGCTGAGAGGCAAGTGATTGAAAAAGATATTCCAGACATGCACAAACTAAAAGAAAGCTTGGTTCACTATATTCAGTATATTCACTAGTAAAACATAGACTTTAAGATAAAAAGCATTACAGACAGAGGGCTACTATAAAAGTTATAAAGTTTCATTCACCAGAAGCAGGTTTTGGATATTGGAAATTATGAAATGCATTTTGGATAAATCTAAGATGCCAAGGAGACATCCAGGACCAAATATCAAGTAGGCAGTTGTATGTGTGAATCTGGAGCATGGCAACGAGTCATTTGCAAATGAAGGGTATTTAAAACCACAGGAGTGGGTGAGAATTCATGAGGATCACACAGGACAGTGTCCTAAGAATCTTCATTATTTAGGGATCCAACAGAAGTTAAGAAGCTGGCACGGAGTCTGAGAGGAGCAGCCATGCTGTATATAAAGGAAGAAATCAAGGCAGTGCGAGATTATGGAACTTGAGATAAAAGGACCATAAAAAAGAAAATGGTACCGTGTTATCCATTGGTATTTAGAGCTTGTTACAGGAAAAAAATGAATCAGCTATACAGAGATAAGGACAGAAAATTGTTTTTAATGTTATGGAGCAAAGCAACGCTTTAATAACAATTACTAACTATTCTGTAAAGATAAGGTTTAACAAAAAAAACACACAATTTAAAGTACACCACAAAACATTAGAATGTGAAAAGTTAATGAATAGGGTTGAAAGTCATACAGAATTTCTCATTTTATACTGTCAAGCCAATATATATTAAATCATCATATATTTTAAGTTAATAAGAAAGAAAAAAGTAAATATGAATATAAAACAAAAATAATTAGCAGTAGTATGAAACAGGACTAAAGTCTACCAAATTGCTAGGAAAAAAAAAGGCAAAGAAAATATAACACACCCTATGAGGTAAATTCCATTATTTAGAAACTTAAACCACAAGAGGTCAAATAACTTGTCTTAAATCACATAATAATGACTGAAAAACCCAGACATGACAGCAGAATAAGAATCTATAGAGTCCAAGCACTTAACAACAATATTAGGGACATTCTTATCCAAGAAAACATGCTTCTAAATGACTACAGTTTAGATTCATTAATTTTTTTTTTTTGGCTTACTTTAATATCAAATTTAAAAATATAATCCCTCTTGAGACGTTTACGTGACTCAGCAGCAATAAGCAGGCTGTGTGGTGTGTGGTCTAACATATACCCGCACCTCCAAGGTACGCATATCCTGCCTCCACAACTACAAAAAAAGAAAATTACCAAGTTAATTTATGTTTTATGACATGAACATAAACTGATGAGAGAATTAAATCTTTTGGGTCAATAATAACCAAAATTCTAACTTGTAAATTGGAACACCGATTCCAGAATTTGTAACATCCAGACAAAACGCAGAAAGTAAGCATTTTTCAGTGAATATTGACGGAGGAATTAAAAAAGGAGTTCTGCAAAAGAGATCTAGGGGATACAAAGCAAATATTTATTGAGTCAAAACGTCCTTTTCTCTTATTGTTTATATTGTCACACATCTCCACTGCAAAGTTAAACAAGAATCCTTGTCCATTTCAGGAACTGTCATACCATAAAATGATAAGCCATAGGGAACAACAAATACCAGAGTCAAGTTGCTAAGGTAAAGGCAAAAACAAAAATTTAAACCAAAACATACATTGATTTGACGGTCATGGTTGGTCGAGTTTGGCATGATCCCCGGCAGGCTCTGTTTTATATTGAGAAATGAGGAATGTTTGCTTTCTCTGCCGACATGTTTTCAGTGAGGTGTAAAGCATAAGAAAGGCTAAGCAACATTTTAATTATTGCTCCAGCATTTTAATAAACTGAAAAAGATCTGGGGAGAGCACAAATAAGCAGCACATTAGAAATCTCCTGTGGCACGCTGGAAACCTTACAAAGGAAACGCTAACATGTTTTCCACTCACTCGGCCTAAAGCATAACTCTCCAGCTTCCTGGATATGCTAATTTCATAAAGAATAATTTAAGTGTTATATAGAACACACACAATCAAAAGGAAAAGAAGAGCTACAAAATCCTTCTTCCTTTCAATTGTTTATTCATTCTGATTGGGATTGGAAGGCCTTTAAAAGACAAATAAATGCCTGATGCCTAGAAATAATTAAAATACCAGCAAAGAGGAGTAATAATTACAAGAAAGAAAATGTCCATCTGGATTATACACACATCCAGTGAAAACAGCAAGAGACACTACTGAATATTAACACTACATCATGAAAGCAAAAATGATGATAATCTTTATAAGAATATTTTAAAAGATATTTAAGGTGCTGGCCCAGTGGTGCAGTGGTTAAGTTTGCACGTTTTGCTTCAGTGGCCTGGGGTTCACCGGTTCGGGTCCCAGGTGTGGACACGGCACCACTTGGCAAGCCATGCTGAGGCAGGCGTCCCACATATAAAGTAGAGGAAGATGGGCATAGATGTTAGCTCAGGGCCAATCTTCCTCAGCAAAAAGAGGAGGGTTGGCAGCAGATGTTAGCTCAGGGCTAATCTTCCTCAAAAAAAAAAGATATTTAAAAGTAAACGAGTTCAGTGATAGAAGTTCTTACAAGTGATTATATACATCATTCTTATAAAAAGTATAGTCCTCTCATAGAATGAAATATGTATTTATTTCCATGACTTGAAAAATGAGAGGAAAACTCACACTAAGAAATCTAGCCTGCTCAGGTTTGTTTGGTTTGGTTTTAAGCACTTTACTCGAAGATAAGTTCTCTTCATTGCAGGACAAAAACAAAACAAAAACAAAAACATACACTCACACAGCTTGCCTATGAACATTGTAGCTTACAGTGGCATTCTTCTACATATTATATAACTCATCTTTTAAAATGGTAAGTCTTGCGAAGCTTAGGAAAAAAAGGGTAGGAGAAGTTTGTCCAGTTATATGGAAGAAGCCTTTGGGCTTGTTCTTCACGTTCCCGATAATCAATACTGGAGGAACGTCCTGATTTCAATAATTATTTTCATTCTGAGGTAACAGTTTCCTACACATTCCTTTATAGCATGTTACCTTTATGCGTTTAACTAATTATGTGGTATATATAAGCAATAACATGGATGTTTCAAGAAGAAAACAAAATAGACTTGTGTAATCGAACAGTAAAAAATTCCTTGTTTTCCACAAGGCACATTTTAGACATGAGATTTTAAGAGAACACAAGACTGTACAAAGAGCTTTCAATATCTCATAACATTAGTTTGGTTGCTTACAATAGGCTTATTAATCTAAAAAAGTACTTATGAGAAGATTGTGAAAATAATTGATAAATACTGTATTTTAATATGCTTGACATTTAAAAGCCCTAAGAAATGACACTAAGCTTCTAAGCACTTACTCTTCTTCCCTTCAAAACAAAATAATTACTTGTAATTTCCTGCAGTCTGAAATGTTGCTAATTTCCAGGGTGTATAAAACAGCAAAAAATCAGCTTAAACTATAGAAGAGGAATTTGAATATAGATGAGCCACGATGGACTCAAATTTCAGATAAGCCCAAAGGCAAACTGTTAGACTCATGAGGACCTATCTTGTTTGTCAAAAAACATTCAAAAGCTCCAGTAACTCTGAGCTCTGTCCAGCAACACCCACTTTCACATCAGCCACAAGACGCCAAAGACAGTTTTTAAAGGTAACAGTTTTATTTATTTATTTTTTGGTGAGGAAGATTGGCCCTGAGTTAACACCCGTGCCAATCTTCCTCTACTTTTTGTATATGGGATGCTGCCACAGCATGGTTTGATGAGTGGCATGTAGGTCCATGCCCAGGATACAAACCCATGAACCCTAGCCCACTGAAGCCGAGCGTGTAAACTTAACCACTATGCCACTGAGCCAGCCCCCAAAATAACTATTTTATAGCTAGCAGAGGATCTCTCAACATGCTAGGCCATGCCATAAATGCCATGTGATGGTGATGACGAACTCTAAAATATGGATTGTATGCCAAGCTGTGTGGTGTTTAAGAGGCATGAGAAGAAGTCACTGTGCCACATTAAACTCTGTGGAAATTCATGGATTCAGGATTTAAAAGGATTATTAATTTGTGGAGTTTTAACTACTTTACTTACAACTCTCTACATTTTAGAAAAATAGCTTGACAAATTGAGGAACAAAAGATTTTAATTAAATATAAACAAAAAAAGGGAACATAATTTGACTTGGCACTCATCTTGATTTTAAACTGCTAATCACCTCTTTTCAAGAGCCATTCAAAAACTGAATACATGAGATGGCATTTAAAATATAATTTCTTATTTTCATTGAGGAATAGGGAGAGGAAGCCACAAAACTAAGACAGGTTCCCCTTTTTTTTGAAACTATAACTAAAACATGATCTTTTAAAACTGTGAATAAACATAAAATAGAGTTTTCGTTATTTTAAATATAGTAACTACCAATTTCTTTTTTTCCAGTTATAAAATAGTCAAGCATATTCTCTGCCATTTACTCTGGGGCCATCTATGTAATATACAATTCATCTAAAAATAGCTCATTTCTTTCATGGAACCCGGTAAAATAATTTGAAAGCTTACCAAGAATAAACTCAATAAATCAATTAGAGAGTAATCACCACAAATCTGAAGATAATATGAGAAAGACAACAGCCAAGACAGGATGAGCTTTCAATGATGGGATTACAAGTAATGAGAATTATAATGATGGACTCTTTGAGGACCTCCTCTCAAAAAAGTGTTATAAATTCTAAGTACATCTTTAAAGAAGAAATCAATCAATTACTTTTTAATTTTATGAAGTGGGTTGTCTAATGGATGATGACTTAAGAATACATTAGAAAAACAAAATTGTATTCTTGTAACGATTTCTTGTTAATAAACCATTGAGAAGCTGGATCCAGGTGGTAGCCTGAGAACACAAGACCACATGCCGTCCTCATTTTAAATCCCTACAAAGGTGTATTGGTGGTGATGGTGGGATTAAAAGCACTCTTGAAGAACATACATGCACACACATACATATATGATGATATTGGAAAAGAAAGGGGAATGCTATGATGTGACTAAGAATTTTGGAGAATTTCTGAGAAATAGAAAGACACGGGATTAGACTGGAAACAAAAACCACAGGACAAAACATGGACAAGGTAGGAATCTGCTGAAGACTATTCTGGGTTGATTCAAGCAGAGAGTAAACAAATTCTAGGAGCAGAATAAGATCAGAGGCCAATCTTAAGAGTTCATTAACTATATTCTACAAAGTCAACAGGCTGGCCTATCCTTCATTCTCCACCTATATTAAAGAACTGGAAATAAAGATGTTTATCCACAGCCTAAAGTAGATCGAGTGAGCACCTGGTCTAGAGAAATAACACCACCTTAGGTTATGAGGAAGTTCTAGAAGGAAAAGGGATATTCTATAAGGGAAACAAGCTATCAGAAGTAAATGACATGTATATAGTAATAATAATGTGAACACTGTGTTAACTAAAAGATGTGATAATATACATATAATCTTCTCTAAATACAACACATTGTGAAAAAGAAGAGTTTATAATAGGATTTCAAGCTTAGTTTCAATGCATAAATAGACTGATTTAACACATTATGAAATTAAAGGAAAAACATAATAGGAACTTTTAAGTAGATTTTGTACTACTCAACACATATCCTCATTAAGAAAATAAAAACTAACGAAGGAAAAGTGGTGAGAAGAAGCATTTTTGGGGCCAGTCTGGTGGTGTAGCGGTTAAGTTAGCACAGTCTGCTTCGGCGACCTGGAGTTTGCCGGTTCAGTCCTGGGCATGGACCTACACACTGCTCATCAAGCCATGCTGAGGCAGCATCCCACGTAGAAGAACTAGAAGCACTTACAACCAGGATATACAACTATGTACTGGGACTTTAGGAGGAAAAAAAAAGAAAGAAAATGGAAACAACAGAGTGTGAATTTAGTACTAAGATACCAGTATTCCTCTTGGGAATGACCACATTTAAAAAAAAAAAAAGAATCATTTTTATTACTTTAAGAACTTCCCTTAAAGTTACAGAAAGCACAAGGATAACTGGCATCACTCCTAAAATATATCATTGCACTGGGTTTCTCAGCCGATGTAACAAGATAAGAAAATAAATAAGAGTGTCAAATATTGGCAAGTAAGACATAATCTATCCTCTTTTTAAACATAAAAAATAATCATTGGAAAATATAAAAGAACTATTAACAAAGTTCGATAAGTGGTTAGGCAC